GGCTAATACTTGTTAAGATAAGACTGATTTGTTGAGGAAGTTGTACACTGCATGTGTAGACTTATATTTTGCCCGTTTTGTTAATATAGGTAGTCCTCTTTTTTTGTTTAATAATCTTTGTTTTTTTTAATATAGTTTTATTTCAATAACAGGATGATAGTTATCATATTTTCAGTTTCTTGTTGGAAAAAAAAGACTTCGTATATTTAGAAAAAATGGGCAAAATATAAGCCCCACCCACCCACCCCTTCTCAATTGTGATGAATTTTTTATTCATCGTGGGCCCATTTCTAGAAATTACGATATGAAATATGGTTTTATAAGGGTAGAAGTTTCTCGAAAAAATTTAATTTTACAATTAAACTTCGCCCCTCGGTCTGATTAGGAATGAAAAAATCATCAGAATAGAGATAGGGTGGGTGGGCGGGCCTTATATTTTACCCTTTTTCTTAATATAGGTAGTCGTCTTTTCTTGTTTAATCTTTGTTTTTTTTTCATATAGAGTTTCATTTCAATAACAGGATGCTAATTGACATGTTTTCAGTTTTTTGTTGGAAAAAAAAACTTCGTATTTTTAGAAAAAATGGGCAAAATATAAGCCCCGCCCACCCACCTCTTCTCAATTGTGATGAATTTTTTATTCATCGTGGGCCAATTTCTAGAAATTACGATATGAAATATGTTTTTAAAAGGGTAGAAGTTTCTAGAAAAATTTTGATTTTACAATTAAACTTCGCCCCTCGGTCTGATTAGGAATGAAAAAATCATCAGAATAGAGGTAGGGTGGGTGGGCGGGCCTTATATTTCGCCCGTTTTCTTAATTTAGGTAGTCGTCTTTTCTTGTTTAATCTTTGTAATTTTTTTAATAGTTTTATTTCAATAACAGGATGATAGTTAACAGATTTTCAGTGTCTTGTTGGAAAAAAAACTTCGTATATTAAGAAAAAATGGGCAAAATATAAGCCCCGCCCACCCACCCCTTCTCAATTGTGATGAATTTCTTATTCTTCGTGGGCTCATTTCTAGAAACTATACGATATGAAATATGGTTTTATAAGGGTAGAATTTTCTCGAAAAAATTTAATTTTACAATTAAACTTCGCCCCTCGGTCTGATTAGGAATGAAAAAATTATCAGAATTGAGATAGGGTGGGTGGGCGGGCCTTATATTTTACCCTTTTTCTTAATATAGGTAGTCGTCTTTTCTTGTTTAATCTTTGTTTTTTTTTCATATAGAGTTTCATTTCAATAACAGGATGATAATTGATATGTTTTCAGTTTTTTGTTGGAAAAAAAAACTTCGTATTTTTAGAAAAAATGGGCAAAATATAAGCCCCACCCACCCACCCCTGCTCAATTGTGATGAATTTCTTATTCATCGAGAGCTCATTTCATGAAATTACGATATGACATATATATTTAAAAGGGTAGAATTTCCTAGAAAAAAATTGATTTTACAATTAAACTTCGCCCTTCGGTTTGATTAGAAACGAAAAAATCATCAGAATAGAGATAGGGTGGGAGGGCGGGCCTTATATTTTGCCCTTTCTCTTACGTAGAACCTTTTTTGTTCTTTCTCGTTTTTCTCGAAAAACTGAAGAAATGAAAAACTGGAAAATGAAAAAATTAAAAATTGAAAACTCGAGAAACTCAATTCGAAAAATTGTGTCAATTTTCCTGTAAAAAAAATAACGGAAAAAACAAAAATGTTACAAAAAAAATACGACAAAAAAAGCCACAAAGAAATACCTTCTTATTTTGGCGCCTTTTTTTATACGCAGTTAATATTTGTTGTTTTTGGGATTTTTTTGTCTCCTTTTTGTTGTTTTTTATCTATTGTCAAATATCTAACAAGTCTGGTATTATCATCACAATTATCAACCCACAAATAGACACTATAAACTCTTAAAGGCAGACTTTTACTGTCGACTTTAATAATAATAATAATAATAATGGATAAAGGGCATACCCTTGTACCATGGGTGGAATAAGTGATGGGTAAAGTTTGAGTGCTTCTGGCGGCCAAGCCAACCACCTGGTCCCTTTTGCGCAAAGTCCCCAGATTTGACACCTCTGCACTATGATCGTTTTTAACTCAAAACATCAAAGAAAACAAAAACTCTAAAATTTAAAAATTCGACAAATTGAAAAATCATGGAACTCAAAAATCGAAAAGTCGAAATGGTGAGAAATCTAAAAACCTAAAACTTTAAAAACTGAAAAATTAAAATATCGAAATTACTGAAAAGTACTGAACTAACGACTCAAAATCTGTCGAATTGATACCCATTTTTTTTCAATAATTGTTAGTTTTTGTTAAAAACTCTGCCAAACAATAGATCATGAATTTTCCTCTGATATTCCTGTTAAAATTAGTCTACGTATTTTGCATTAATTTGTTATATATTTTGATTTTAATAAACACATTATTATTTCAACAAATTGCACCACTAACAAACATTTAATGACTCTGCGCCCTGTAAAAGGTGATGTTTTATCGATGTACGAATTTTTAAGCGCTTCTATGATGGTTATGACTCAAAAAACTTGAAAAGAAAACATACAATGGTGCTTTTTTTACGATATTTCTCAGCCATATTTTTTTAATTGATTGAACTGGTCTCTGCGCTCTAGAACATGAAAAAAGCTGCAGTTTGATGTATGATACATCTATATTAATATCATTTTTTCATACAAAAAACCAAAAAAATATTATACCTCGTCTAGCGAGTCCTCTTAAGGGGGCGGTCTACCTTTTCTTGTCACACTCGTCGCAAAATCTCACGCCCCCTTGACTCCCAAATTTTCCACTTACGTCTGGATCGAGCACTTTGAGGTTTTCGTCTATCAGACTGACGGCTCGATTGTAATGGAAAGATAATTAAACTTGGCGATATCTGGTTTAGTGAAAACTCATTTCTAGCCACAAAGCAACAAACTGCAATAAACCAAGTTCAAAATTTAATTGTACGTCAGATCCCTGGGTGCGGTTTCAATCAGTCGATATCGTCCTGGGAGGAACGAAATTAACATCGCGTCTAGCGGAATTTGCTATTTTTAGAAGCTGCATTTTTTCCTTATTAAAGCTTGAGGTGCCGAATTTGAATAATTATGTGCTCGTAATGTTATTAAAAGTTACTACGCAACATTTTGTATTCCGAGCAGGTCTTCGGAATGTTGTTGTGACGCGAAAATCCATTACGCAAAACTCGGCTCGAATGGATATTGTATTTCGTACCTCCGTCTGTTTTTTTTGTTTTTTTAATAAGAAGATAGAGATAATTTAATGAGTTACTTTTTTTGTTTCAGTTTTAGGAAAAAATGCTTTGTTTGGACTTCAGATCGAATCTTTTGTGTCTCTTATCCTTTATCTGCGCTTTTATACCTTGACGGATGAGAGTCATGGATTTCCCTTACAGAAACATTAGTTAGAGCCACCGCGTCTACAATAGAAGTTTTTATCGCCTAACGTCATGTATCAAAGACCAATCTCTAGAGTCTTTTTTCTATGGTTTTATTCAAATTGAAGTACAACGCATCGTTTATCCTTTATACGACAGTCACAATTAAGCGAATTTAAAATTTAACAAAAATAAATAATAATTTTGAAAGTAATCAAGCGAAATTTTCCCGGTGCCTCCACCATTATCTCATTCGTTGTTTACTTGAATAAAATCTTAAGCCTCCCGGCGAACTACTCGTACTTAATTTAAGCGACTTATTTGGACTAACTTTATGCAAAAGTAAGCGATTAATCACAGCTCGGAATAGGCAAATAGTTGACCATTGTGTCCCGAATCTGGTGAATAATTTGAAATTCCATCCCTCTTTACTCACCTTAACCGAATGAGAAGTAGTTCACATAAGCATTATGCTGCAGGATAGACGTACCAAGTAATTAAATCCAAAACTTTAACAATGCCTGCCATGGAACAGAAATTATTTTAATATAACTGAAATTACATACCCTCATAAGCACGATTTACATAATCTGTCGGATCTAGAACGGGAATTCATAACCGATTCAAGTGACAACTAATTTTCCTATACCACAATTCAAATTCTTCCTGTTTGCGTAACGAAAAAAGTTTTTTCCGCGGGTCCTTTCCATAAACCGTACTGAAATGTTTTGTCATATTTATGAAGGTTTGCGGTTCCCTACTTGTGAGAAGCTCCACCGGCTGCATTTAGTAGACCTGAATCGAATAACGCCATCTTACGAGGTCACAACGACATCTTTCTTCCAGCTGACTGACGATCCAGGATACATAAAACCGTTTATAGCTTTGTAACCTTCCTTAAAGGATAAGGAAATGTTTCAATAAAATTTAGTACTTACATTTTCGGTTCTTCAACTCACCTACGCGTTCGGCGATTTAAAAAAGTTTGCAAATTGAATGCGCGACGTAAAACATGCTTATCTGGAATGTTGTTTGCAAAAATTTGCATAATTAGGTAATCGGGCTACACAAAAATTTAATTAAAAGGCACGCGGTGTGGATTAATTTTGCTTAGTTAATAATAGCGGAGTTTTTACACGCACGATTTTTGTGAGTCGTGCTTTCAAAAGCTGCTATCTGTGTATAAATTGTAACGAAGCTATGGGGATTTATCACTCGCAACAACTAACTAAACTGATATCGAGTTTAAACATTTTATCCGATGCATTGTTGGTCCGCTTCCTGGGCTGATAAAAGTGATGACCGATGAAACTTTAAACGACATAAACACAAAAGTTGGCGTGGGAGTCCGTGATTTATGGTGCGGTTTATGACCTAATTGCTGACAGTCATAGGAAACTAGTTAAAATTGCAATTTACTGGAAAAATACACAGTAGGGTGGTAAAAGGATTTGTAAAAGTTACATTTCTGAAAGAAACTGTTGGCGCTTGTTACAGAAGTAAGATATATGAGTCTATTACGTCACTAGTTAAATTCAGTTTCGTTTATTAGCACTGCACAAAGTTGTTACATAATTACAATTTTTGTTTTTTTTTCAGATTTGCAATTACAATCAATGGACTTTCTTTGGACCAACAACTGTAAGAAAGTTATTTAAGTAAGTAGTTTTTAATTTCGAATGATTTTGAAAGCTTCAAATTTAATTCGATTTTTTCTAATTCGAAGATTTGACATAATTTGATGGCTAATTTAGGAAAAATGGTGGGAATTGTCGAAGAAACGAGAAACAGATCGCTTTAGGTAATTTTCGAATATGATCGAAACATTGTCTAAAAAGTAAAAAAAAAACTGAACAAGCAAATACATTTTTTTATCCTCAAATTTGCCATAAGTCTGGAAAAATCGCAGGATTTTTCGAAGAAATGAAGCCGAAAATAATTTCTGGAAGTCAAAATGTAGAAAAAAGTCTCTTGAGGTAATTTTCGAAGGTGATCGCAAAAAGTTACCGAAAAATTCGCAAAAAAATCTGGGATAGAGACTTCGATATTTCGATTTGAAAATCATAACATTGTTTATGGTTCCAGCAAGATTTTAACCATATTCGGCTTGATTTTTTTTTTATCAAAAAAATTTTAAATGTGGGAATTAAACGGGCGATTTTGGAGTTTTCGAAAATGAAGCCGCAATCTAGGAAAAATCTTTTTAGTTAATTTTTTAGTGTAAACGGGAAAATTTTCTTTAGGTGAGAGTACTGAAAAGTTGAGCTTTCGCAAAAAAATGTCTAAAGTCACAAAAAATTCTGGGATATACTTAGATCTCGAGGCACTGACTACGCACTTTTTTTTAATTATCATTTTTCGCTAAGTGATTTTGAAAAAATGGTAGAAATTTGCAAAAAAATGAGGCCGAATTTAACTTATGTAGATCGAAATCGATAAAATATTTAATTTTAGAAGATGGAAAAAAAGGTCGTTTTTTTCGTTCTGACGAAAGTAAGAGGGACTATTGAAGTATTCAGCTTTGGATTAAATTGTCTAAAAAGCCGCAAAAAATTCTGCAGTACAGATCTCGACGTACTGATTCTAAAGCTATAGCACTTTTTGTCTCATGAGATTTCAGAAATAGATTCTTTCTATGATTCTTTCTAAACAAAATTCTTTCAGATTCTTGAAAAAAAAACAGGAGTCCCAAGAATGTTTGAAGTTCTTTTCTCTCAGTTATTCCATTGCCAAGATAAAACTGAGTTTGCCAAATGATTTACCCTCTACCTTTTATTCTCTTAGAGGGTCTATCATTTGGCAAAATCAGTCTTATCTTAAAAGGTACTATGCCCGCCCACCCGCCCCCTATTTTCCCAAAAAATGTCATTTGCCAAAATCAGTCTTATCTTACCAAGTACTAGCCCCACCCACCCACCCTCTTTTCTCTTACAGGGTATCTCATTTGCCAAAATCAATCTTATCATACCAAGTACTAGCCCCGCCCACCCACCCTTTATTTTCTCAGAGGGTAGTATTTGCTAGTACTTGCAAAGTTAAAACTTATTTTAGCAAATGACATAAACTCTGAGAAAATAAATAAAATAAAGTTGTTAATTCTAAATATTGCCATATTTTGCACGATTCTGGAAAAATCGAAGGAATGTTCGAAGAAAGGGACCGAAAATAATTTCTGGAGGTGGAAATATAGCAAAAAATCTCTTGAGGTAATTTTTGAAGGTGATCACAAAAAGTTTAAACTCTGATAAGGTAGAAGAATATTGAAAAATTGAGCTTCTCAAAAAGTTACCGAAAAATTCGCAAAAAAAAAATGTTTATGGTTCCAGCAAGATTTTAGCCATATTCGTCTTTTTATGCTAAAAATTTTAAACATGGACGATTTCAGAGTTTTCGAAAATGAAGTGGAAATCTAGGAAAATGTTTTTTTAGTTAATTATTGAAGGCAAACGGGAAAATTTTCAATAGGGAAGAGTATTGAAAAATTGAGCTTTCCAATAAATTGTCCAAGAAAACATAAAAAAGCTCTAGGATATTTTTAGATCTTGAAGTATGAAGAATAAGAAGATCCAGGAATAAATTGTGTGAGAGCAAAATTTTAAAAATTCTGGGTTTGGAAGTCATTTTTTCTAAATTGTCATATTTCGTTGGACGATTCTGGAAAAATCACACGAATTTTCGCAGAAATGAAGCCGGGAAATAATTTCTGGTTCGAAGGTGATCGACAAAAGGTCGAATTTTCATTGAAACATTGCGCTTTTCAAAAAATTATCAAAAAATTCGCAAAAAAATCTGGGATAGAGATCTCCACATTAAATGGGCGATTTTGGAGTTTTCGAAAATGAACCCGAAATCTAGGAAAAAATAGTTTTACTTAATTTTCGAAAGTAAACGGGAAAAAAATCATTATTGAAAGACTAAGCTTCCGAAAAAATTGCCTAAAAAAATCACAAAAAATTCTGGGATATACCTAATAACTAGATCTCGACGTACTGATTCGAAGAATATTGTGAGCAAAATTTTAGAAATATTGGGTTCGGAAGTATTTTTTTTAATAGCCATATTTCGTTGGACGATTCTGGAAAAATCGTAAGAATTTTCGAAGAAATGAAAAAGAAAATAATTTCTGGAAGTCGAAATGTAAAAAAAATGTTTTGAGGTAATTTTCGAAGGCGATCGAAAAAATGAGGAAATTTACATAAAAAGAGAGAATTTTGAAACAGTTATCAAAAAATTCGCAACAAAATCTGGGATCGCCATCTCGACGTCCTGATTTGAAAATCATAAGGTTATTTATGTTTTCAAAGCAAAACTTTAATCATGTTCAATTTAAATTTATTTCTTTTTAATGTTAAAAATTACGATATTTAAATCGGCAAGTTTTCGATAATGAGGCTCAAAATATCTTCCTTTTTCAAAGTTTTACAGCAAAAATGAAGACAGATTCGTGATCCTAAGGAAATTTCGCTTTCGACATATGCCTTTTCGGCAGGGTTTTAGAAAATTTCACATTTAATTAAAAATATGCACAAATTCTTGATCCTGAGAAAATTTCAGGTTAGATAGACGTCTTTTTGGAATGATTCAATCAGCTTTGATTTTTGAGAAAAAATGGTGGAGGAGCCAAAATACAAATTAATATCTCTCTTATTTGGCAACCCACAGTAAAAATAAGCACAAATTCGTGATGCTGAGAAATTTTCGATCATGATAGATGCTTTTTGGGAAAGATTTTCGAAGCTTTAAAATTAAGTGAAAATAGGTGGAGGCGCCGGGACAAAAATTCGTATTTATCCTATGTGAAGACCTATAGTAAAAATAAGCACAGATTCATGATTTTAGTTTAGACAATCCCTTTTTAACCGAATTTTTTAGACGAAACTCTTTTCAAGACAATTATAGGAAATTTCAAATATATTGAAAAATTCGAAACTTTCAAATTTAGTGAAAATTGGTGGAGGCGCCGGGACAAAAATTCGAATTTACCCTATCTGAAGACCTATAGTAAAAATAAGACAGATTCATGGTTTTGGTTTGGACAATCCCTTTTTAACCGAATTTTTTAGACGGAACTCGTTTCAGGACAATTATAGAAAATTTCAAAAATAGTGAAAAATTGGTGGTGGCGCCAGAACAAAACATCGTATCTCTCTTATTCAAAGATCTAAAGTTAAAATAAGCACGAATTTGTGATCTTGAGAAAATTTCGATAACGATAGCTGCTTTTTTGGAAGGATTTTTGAAAGTTTCAAATTCAGTGAAAAATTGGTGGAGGCGCCGAGACAAAATTCAAATCTACCTTATCTGACGACCTGTGTTAAAAATAAGCACAGATTCTTGATCCTGAGAAAATTTCGGGTTAGATGGACGTCTTTTTTGAATGCTTCGATCAACTTTGATTTTAGGGAAAAAATGGTGGAGGCGCCAGAATCAAATTTCATATCTCTCTTATTTAGCAACCCACAGTAAAAATAAGCACAAATTCGTGATTCTGAGAAAATTTTGGTCATGGTAGATGCTTTTTTGGAAGGATTTTTGAAACTTTCAAATTTAGTGAAAATAGGTGGAGGCGCCGGGACAAAAATTCCCATTTACCCTATCTGAAGACCTATAGTAAAAATAGGTGCAGATTCATGATTTTAGTTTAGACAATCCCTTTTTAACCGAATTTTTTAGACGGAACTCGTTTCAGGACAATTATAGAAAATTTCAAAAATAGTGAAAAATTGGTGGTGGTGCCAGAACAAAACATCGTATCTCTCTTATTCAAAGATCCACAGTAAAAATAAGCACAAATTTGTGATCTTGAGAAAATTTCGATAACGATAGGTGCTTTTTTGGAAGGATTTTTGAAAGTTTCAAATTCAGTGAAAAATTGGTGGAGGCGCCGAGACGAAATTCAAATCTGTTGTCTAAAATGCCGCAAAAATTTCTGGAGTGCAGATCTCAACGACGTACTGATTCTAAAGCTATAGCACTTTTTGTCTCATTCCATTTCAGAAATATTCGGTCTGAAAATCCTTTCTGAAATAAAACACCAAGAACTGACTTCCTCGATTTTTTCAAATTCTTAAGGAAAACGCACCAGCGACTCCACCTATTCTTTCTAAATAAATTCCCGGATACCCCAAGGTTCTTAAAAATTTTTTAACAAGAAAATACCAGAAAACTTCAGGATTGTTTCAGCTTCTTTTCAAATAAAAAACCTGAGACCCCAAGATTTTTTTCAAATTTAAAAGCAAAAAAACTCTTTTTACGATTCTTTCTAAACAAAATTCTTTCAAATTGTTGAAAAAAAACAGGAGTCTCAAGAATGTTTGAAGTTATTTTCTCTCAGTTATTGCATTGCCAAGATAAGACTGATTTTGCCAAATAATATACCCTTTACCCTTCATTCTCTTAGAGGGTATATCATTTGGCAAAATCAGTCTTATCTTAACAGATACTAGGCCCGCCCACCCGCCCCCTATTTTCCCAAAAGATGTCATTTGCCAAAATTAGTCTTATCTTACCAAGTACTAGCCCCACCCACCCACCCTCTCTTCTCTTACGTGGTATCTTATTTACCAAAATCAATCTTATCATACCAAGTACTAACAAAAAGTCTAAATTCTGAAAAGGACGAAGAATATTGAAAAACTGAGCCTTTCAAAAAAGTTAC